AATATAAATCAACTAAAGTATCTAAATCTATAGCTTTAAGTTACTACATTAGAAAAGGGAAAAGTCCCAAAAGCAATAACTAACATTCCAACCTAAGGAGCTAGAGAAACAAAAAGTCGTAAAAACTGTACATATCAATAGGGTACCATGTGATTTTTCAGTTCATGTATACATTGTGTGAAATTTAAATCAGGTTTAGCCCATTTATGTCCTCAAACATTTATTACTAATTTACACTGTAAATTTTTGAAATCCTTTTAGCTTTTGGAAATGTAAAAACATTATTGTTACCTATAGCTTGTTACTGTGCAATATCACACAAGAACTTCTTGTTTCTGTCACTTGATACCCACTTCTCCCCCTTCTCTCTCTCTCTCTCTCTCTCTCTCTCTCTCTGTCTCTCTCTCTCTCTTCCCTATTTTCCTCAGTCCCTGGTAACCAGCTTCTATCAATTTCTAAAAGACCAGCTTTTTTAGATTCTAGTATTTGAATGAGATCCTATAACATTTATTTTTCTGTGCCTGGTCTATTTTACTTAACATAATGACATCCAGAACCATTTATGTTGCCACAAATGACAGAAGTTAATTCTTTTTTTATGATTCTTTAAAACAGTTTCTTCACAGCAAAGGAAACTAAAGCATGAAGAGAAAGCCCACATAGTGGGAGAAAATCTTTGCCACTCACTCTTCTGATTGGATATTAATAACCAGAATATAAAAAGAATTAAAAAAATTAACACCAAAAAACTAATAATCCCACTCAATAAATGGGTGAAAGAACTAAAGAGATATTTCTCAAAAGAAGAAAAACAAATGCTCCATAAATTTGTGTAGCAGTTAGAAATAAATGTAACTTAATTTTTTAAATGTAAAGGAGCTTATATGAATATTTTAAAAATGAATAAGCTGGAAAAAGAAAAACAAATTAAATGCAAAGTAGACAGAAGGAAAAATAAATACAAGTCCAGAAATTCACCACTACCATAAAAGACTATAATTAAGGAGTAATAAGTTAATTAATAAATACCCTTTTCCATTTAGATGTGCTTCTCACATTTAGCTTATAATTTTGTGTTGCTTGTATTTAAGGTCACAATTTTTGAAAACACTGTATTGGTAATATTAACTTCTTTCAGGGATTCTGCCTCTGAAGATTTGGAAAATAATGTGAAATCAAACATAAGAATAGGATATGGTTTTTATAAGAAAAGATTGGGACATTCATCATTTCCAAGATAAACTGGGTGTCCTGGAGGAAGTACTCTACTGAAACTTTTTGAAAAACAGTGTCCTTGGTTGTCTTAACTTTCAACAATGACTCACATGGAGAAAGTCATTGAAGAACTTGTCAATTTTATAGACAGAATCAAATTCTTTAAAGACACACAAATATTTTAATCACATCATAAAAACCTGAAATCAATTGACACAACATATTAAAAAAATAGCTTTTAGTATTGCTAAAGTATAAAAGGCACGTGTAAAATAACATTTTCTTTTGATGTAGTTAACGTGGATATTCATCAGTAATTTTCTCTGTAGATTTATAATTTATGTATGATTTGATGGAATATATTGTTCTCATTTCTTCTCTCTTTAGGACTTACATTTTTACAATCTGATGAATATACTAATTAAGATGGACTGGATTTCTTCAGTGCCAATTAAGACATATTATAAGGCCAGATCTGAGTATCAAATTTTATCTTGATACTCTTAGACAATATTGCATATAAATTCCACGTTACTCCAGAACAGTTGGAACATTTCTAACCAGTTTCTACCTTGTAGGTAAAGGATATGAGATATTTTGATATGAAATGTAAAGACAGAATGGACACAAAATTTAATATTTGTGTCATGTGTTCTTTTCATTGAATGCTTGTTTTATGGACCAGATGGAGTTAATATCATCTTTCACCTATTGTACATTTAATTCAGGCTGATCACAAACATATGGTGAAGATATCTTGTCTAACATACTAGCATTCTCAGAAATGATTATAAAGGGAAAATTCAAAAGCAAACAAAATATGATATATCTTGTAAATGTAAATAGTTATAACTTTTAAAATTTTATAAAATGCCAATATTTCCTATCTGCCCCACCCTCATGTCTACCCCTCCACCCCCAACATCTTTAATAGCTCCACTGGGTTACTGTCAGAGCACATATATTTTATACTCTTGGATCACCCCTAAGAAGCTCTCTAATACATTATGCATTCTACATATCAGACAGCACTTCCTAGACTTGAAAAGCCTGCCAAACTTTCAAACTCCTCATCTGATTCATGGTGTAGATCTTCATAATTAATCTCTAAGCATATCAGCAAATCAGCCCCACAACCTTCTAGATAGCTTTAGCTAAAATATCTGTTAGTTTATTCTCAATGCCAAATCAATTTTCATCCTTTCTTCTCATCTATTCAGTGGCAAAATGAAGCTGCTTTTAACCCTGGCTCCTGATTCTGCTATTCAGCTCAGAATCAGGCACATGGAGATAATAAATACCCCAAATTTATTATGAGTTATCCAAACAGCCAATTTCCCTGTTCCTTAATGTAAACCCTGTCTGTCTTCCCCAATGTGCCAATTAAGGGACTTTACGCTGTAGTTTTGACTAGGTCTTTCACCCCATGAACTTTTCTTTCTCTAATTAGATTTTGGCACGGAATACCAACGTGGTATGACTGAGCTATTGAGAATATTCCCTCTTTGGATTCTGTATATATGCTAAGAATTTTTGAGCCACTATTTCAGATAGACTCATTTGTTAAAGCTATGAAATGTTGTTTGTCATGTGAACTGATCATGGTTATTAAAAACTAATTTCACACTAATTCCCTATGACTGAGGTATAATTTTCAAGCCCTAACATGGACAGTATATCCTAATACAAGAAGTTACCTTAACTCCATCACACCCAGATCTTCATCCTATCATCTTTGTTCTGATGCAACCCCTTCCTTACTTACCCAAATTCACTTCTCATAAATGTTCATTTCTTATTCAGTTCTATTAAATCTGAATAATACTGGCCTTCAGGTAGCCCCGGGAATATATATAGGGCAGTTAACAAGGCTCCAATCCTAAGGATGACCTCTCTATGTGTAAATTATATCCAATAATAATCTATAATAATAAACACAAGTCTATAAGGACACAGTAGAAAATGTAACTACATTAACTGGATGAATCAAGTAACTTTGAAGAGATGCTGAGTTTTGAATAATGAAAGGAAGTCTTCCAGAAATAGAATGATTTTAGAATAGACTTGAAAACAGAAGAAAGACAAGGGCATGGCACTCTTGAGGAATGGCGAGAATTCTCTCACATCACTGAACATTTAGTAGTTAGGGAATGCAACTAGGGTAATGGCTTGGAGCCAAATTGTGAATACACATGTACATTGAAGTAGTAACCTCCTAGCAGGGCAACTATGATTAAGTAAGGATTGTGATTTTCAGATAGTTTTGTTTAATTTGTGTAATGTGTGTATGGTGCACACTTGAGTTTAAATTTATATACACACAACAGACTTTTATAGTATGTTTGAGCAAAATAATTGCATCAGGGTAAATGTAGTCAAAAATGTTTTCTTTTCTCATTGTCATGTCATGAGAAGATGGATGGCATTATTTTCTGCAGCCCTAGGAACAGGTAATCTCATATTTACCTCATTCATTCAGAATTATCCTGTTTCCCACACCTGGATAATTAATACAGTTTTCTTATGATTTAAAAACAAGGCATGGAATTTCCTTGATTAAGATGATAGCCACATAATTTGTTCCATGATCCAATTAATGCCAGTAGGGCTAAGACTATGGACTTCACAGAAGGTAAGTCTTTCACTCTTCTGAGACATCTATCAGAAGCAAGATCCTTGACTCTTCCTTTTAGTATTATTGAGTGTTAGATACACATCTGAGAATTTAAGCAGCTATTTTATTTTTCCAGCAAAAGAGAAATCAGAAGTAGGCTGATGCTGACACCACACCATAAAAATTTAAGAAACAATGTGAAATCAAATCCTGATGACTTAGTAGTGTCATTAAATAAAATCATCTTGGAATCACATAAAAATGTGTGCTTTCTATTACAGACAGCTAAAATAATCCTAAAGACTAGAGCAAGGGTGAAAAAGAAAAATAAAAGAAACCTTCAAACTTAATATATCTTATGACACTTTCTAAAATTTTTTCACCACTAGAAACATGTTTTTGGCTATTTTTGACCTAACTTAGTTTGTTTTTGTTCCCATTTACTTAAAAATTTAAAGAGTAAAAATAATATTAATAAATTAATGTTAAAAATAGGTATAAAATAGAAGTTTCAAGAATCAATATTGGTATATAAATTCAACATTTCTTCTTCAAAGATATCCACTGTTAACAGACTCATTTTATCTCTCCAGAAAAATAATAATTGTGTTTTTAAAAAGTGCAGTTCTAAGATTAAAACTATCCTCCGTTTTAGTCAAAATGGTCTTTGTTGATGGAAAAATATGTTGTAATAGATGTGTTACTCTTACAAATTATATTGAAATGACTGTACTAGTACTTAGTGTATTATTTTAAGTATAAACCTACAAGCAAACATGTCATTATGAAAAATGATCTATCAGTGGGTCTTAGTTAATTTAATTATTCCATCCAAGATATAATATGATGTATTTTATTTAGATTCCATATTCATCCTTCAGCATGGAACTTAACAGTGACTATAGGATCAAAGTAAAAAGATAATGTTGGATCAAATAATTACATTCCATATTAAAATAACACATATTGGATTTAGAAATGATTGGCAGATTCAAAAAATTCATTGAAGACTTTGTACTTTTTAGATACTCTTGTGAAAATATTCAAAAAAATCTGTGTTGAAAGTCATTGGTATTTTTAAGAAACAGTCACTCAGTAGCCAAGTATCTCTACATTACCACCATTGAGATACTTTTTCTGGAGGTATAAATAACAATGAGCAATCACTCACCCATAAAGATGCTGATATTCTTAGTCAAAACTGCAAACCTTAAAAAATATGAGGAAAAAATGAATTAATTTCAGAAAATAACAGATACCTTTGCGCGATCATAAAACCTATAGTTTTTATAAAAAATTTCATAAACATTTTTAATGTAAACATCATTTAATCATGAACTGAATCTATACACAAGTAGATTTATATGGGTAGATATTGTATTCAAAATGAGAAATGGATTTTCTTATGTGTACCTATTTATGATCCTTATGTGAATTTGGCAAATTATATAAATGAGCAAATGACCCATGTCCAACTGTTGAAAAAAATTATTAGCAAATAAACACAACTCCAGAGATGTTTTGAATATCTTTCAAACTAAAAAAAGAATAGGAGCACAGAGTGTCTGTGGACTGTAGCTATCAAACTGAAAAAATGCACTTTGATCAGACCTCTTTAAAAATAGATGAATTCTATATTCAGTTGCCAGTATTATGCAAGGAATCAATAATGAATAATTAGGTCTTAAATACTAATAACATATCACTGGAGGAGCCTCTGTAAAGCTCAGCTATCTAAAAATATTTCCTACTATTCTGTCACAATTGATATTAATATTTAAAGTGCTGTTCATTGTGCTTTATGGATAGTAAGGATGCTATTAGAGTGAAATCAAAGCTTGCTTCACTAGGATCCAACTCTAATCAAGAAAAAGCTAGCAGTTTTTGGCATGGTCTGGCTTGTTCTTCATTGCAGAACTGAGAAGAAGCATTCAGGAATATGAAAACAAGTTCAGATACACTGAAAGTTCATAGAGAAGACTTTGAAAATAATTTTAAGTTTCTGTCTAGATTGATATCTACTTACCAGTAACATAATTGATGGGAACTAGTACCAAATGAAAATATGGGACACCTTGTTTAAAACGTAGGAAAATGGGCAGTGGGGGAAAGTTGGCAGAATACAATAAGAGTGCAATTTCTAGATGCTCCATGACTTGAGATTCAAGCAGCAGAAATACTGCTTCCCAGCAGGTGGTTGACAGAGGGAATACACCAAAATTCAATATCAGAATCAGAGACACAGAAATTTTGGTAGGATGGGAAAGAATAAAGAGAATTTAGCTGATAACAATTGTGACATTGGTTCACCGTGGAGGGGAGGAGTGACCCAGAGAGAGAGAGAGAGAGAGAGAGAGAGAGAGAGAGAGAGAGAGATCTGTGAAGAAAATCTGACCTGGGGAAAACTAGGGAACAGAGGGGTTTTCTGAGTGACCCAGAGGCAGTACAGTGAGCTGATGTGGGAGGGTGCTTCATGCTTCTCTGCTGAAAGGGGAAAGTGGAGATTTCATGTGGGACACCAACTTGAAATGGCCAGGTGGTAACTTTTTGCTGGGGGACTCTTCTTATCAAGCATTAGCTGACTGTCCCTACATGTACCTGCCATGTGACTTATACAGTCTGCTTGGTAGGGCCCAATAAAGGTGGAAAAATAAGGAACAGCACCCAGTGGGACTCAAGCTAGGGATACAGGGTTGAATGCAGCTCTGTTCTGTTGGGTTTGGTGGCTGTGGGGGTTAGCCAGAGAGAACACAGAAAGGAAAGATGGGTACATTTGTGCTTGGGGTCTGATCCTGGGAAGGTCACATATGTAGGTGGTGGATTATATGAAATTTATGGATAATTGATTGCTTTGCCCCAAGAGTGGAGTTCCTGGAACCCCTGCCCTAGATCAATATGTTCAGCAGAAATTGACATCAGTCTAGCAATAGGGTGGATGGAAGTATTATCTCTACCTGAATACCTCATGAAAAAATGGAAAGGTTGGTCAGAATTAAACACAAGCTGCCTGAACTTCACATTTAGAACTCAGACCTGTCCTGGGAGTGCATCTACCACATTTGCATGGACATAACTTTAATTTGTCACTAATTTCCTTTCTGTCTTACATTAAACTTGTGAGAATAGAAGTAGAAAAGTATTACATTCAGCTTCCATTCCAGACCATTCCAACAGAGGGCTTAGTGAGCAACTCAAAGAAGATGCATTTAACAATGCCCAACCCTTGCTATGGTGATGGAAGAGGAGGGGGAGGGGAGGAGGGTATAGGGAGGGCAGCAGAGTACAACTGACACGAGGATTGCTGTATGTATACACATGGATGTATAACCAATGTGATCCTGCAATTTGTACACATGGAAAAATGAGAATTCATACCCTATTTGAATCAAATGAATGATATGTCAAGATCATTGTATTGTCTTGAGCAACTAATAAAAAAAATAAAAACGCAAAAAAAAGAAGAAGAAATGGAAAAGAGAGCAGCATATGCCTTGAACATCCATTCTTGTCAACAGCATTGAACACCTCAGCAGAAGTGAGATAATCCCTTCTTTTTTTATAAAGGGTTTATTTTTGTTGTTTGTTTTTCTTTTTTCATTAAGCATGTGTGTGTGTGTATGTGTGTGTCCTAATTGGTTCCACAATGTATGTATGTATGCATGTGCGTGTGTGTGTATATGTGTGTAGAGAGGGAATAAATATGACTATATTATTTTTTGCTTTTTTGTTTTTCTGATTACTTCTTCTTTCACTCTTCCCCTTCCAATAGCCAAATTTACTTGTTCCTTCTTGCATTATTTCTTTTATTTTAACTCTTTATAGCCATCACTTGCTACAAATCTGTCTGCTTTTGAAAAGTTTTAAACATTTTTTGCTATCTTACCCTGTTTTCATTACTGTTAGTGAACTGTACATTTATTATCTTTAAGGACAATTTAATTTACATAACTGCTGTCCCCACCATTTATGTTGATGCAGTGTTTAGTACTGAGGAGTACATAGTTGACACCTCTATATTTTAATGATATACCTAGTTCATGATTGTTTATTGTTGTTACTATTGTTAAGAGCTGACCCTGCCATTCCTCTTTTTGTGGTAATTGTTTGTGTACATGCTGTACATACTCAACATTTATTATAATGTTGTATATTGATCACTACTATTATTGAGTGACTGGGAAGTGACTGGTACACTACAAATCCACAGAGACACTATAGATGAAGTAACCCTGCTGAAGCTTTAAAAGTACTTAGAAGAGTACTTAGAATAAGGGAAAACAAAAACACAAAGCAACGACTGGACCCCAAGTAGGAATAATTAAAGAGGACCTCAGATCCCACGCATGGACATCTACACCCTCTGCAAAATCAGAAAAAAGTATCCAAAATAATGGCTTAGAAGAATCTACAATGTTGCAGCAGTTCTACAGAATAAATTCATTCAAGAGTTCTTGCAACAGCAAACTGAGTTCTGGAGGTTGAAACTAGTACTTGGATTACACTGAGCCTACATGTCGAAGCTAAGAGATATACAGGACTTTTAACATAAGAGATTATTTCACTCCAGAGAACTTCCTCACAGAAGATGAAGAGGAATCCATCTGAACATACTTTAAGTCCAAGACCTCTGAAAATATGAGTAAACAAACAAATAATTCTCCCACCCCCAAGTTACAATCCCCCAAAAAAGAAATGCACAGAAATAGAAGGGGATGAATTTCAGAAAAAAGCTATAAATAAGTTACTTAAATTATTAATGAGTTGAAAGAAGATCTAGTGAATGAATGAAGAAACTAAGAGAACAATTACAGAAGGTGAAAGAGCATTTATTTTTTAGTTCATTTTAAAAATTTATATTTCTTAATTGGCACAGTATAGTCACAGAAAAAGTGGAAATTCACTAGAATATATTCATACATGTACATTACATAGTTTGGTTTTTATTTTATTATGCTGTTTCTCCCCTTTCCTATCCTTCTTCTCCCTCACTCTTTCGCTTTTCTCTCCTTTCTATTTTCATGACATCCCCCTTTTGTTTAATTCCTTCTTTCGCTTTAGCTTCCACATATAAGAGAAAACATCCAATCCTGGACTTTCTGAGTCTGGTTTCATGATGTTCTACAGTTTTATTGATTTACCAGCAAATGACATAATTTCATTCTTCTTTATGGCTGAACAAAACTCCATTGATTCCTAAAATCAAATGAGAACAGTAAAACAACATACAAAAGTCTCTGGAACACTATGAGGAAAGTAGTAAGAGTAAAGTTTATAGCATTAAGTGCCCACATTTTAAAAAGAAAGATTCAAATAAATGATCTAATGTTACATCTTGAAGCAAAACCAGGAACAAACTAATTTCAAAACCAGTGGAAGACATGAAATAATTAAGATGAGAGCTCAAATTAATGAAATTTCAAATAAAAAAATATACAAAGGATCAATGCAAAAAACCAGGTGGTTTGCGGGCGGGGGGGCTGGGGTTGTTGCTCACTGGTAGAGTGCTCGCCTAGCACATGTGAGACACTGAGTTTGATCCTCAGCACCACATAAAAATAAAATTAAATAAATAAATAAATAAGGGTATTGTGTCCATCTACAACTAATTTTTTTAAAAGGTGGTTATTTGAAAAGATAAAAAAAAAATTAGTGAACCCTTAGCCAAACTAACCATAAGAATGAGAGAGAAGACCCACAGAAAAGTAGAGAAGAAGCAGAAATATCAATATAGATATTACTGAAATCAGTATCACTTTCATACTAAAACCAGATAAAGGAAGACATATTAAGAAAAACAACAACACCAACAAACAAACAAAAAAGATGGACCAATATTAATATCTCTGATAAACATAGAGTCAAATTCCTTAATAAAATATTAAGTAATCACATTAAAAAAACACATTAAGAAGATTTAGTTGGACCATGGAATTCAAGGTTGTTTCAATACTTACATAAAAAAGTAATTCTTCATAAAAATAGAATCAAAGATTTTTTTAAAAAAAAATCACTAGATCATCTCAATAAGTTCAGGAAAAAAAAAAACTTTGAGAAACTCCAGAACCCATTCATTTATAAACACCAGAAAAATTAGAGATAGATAGAACTTACTTCAATATCTTAGAGGCTACATTTGACAAACCCCAAACCAGCATCGTACTGAACAGAGAAAAAATTGAAAGCATTTCCTGTAAAATCAAGAACAAGAC